AGGGTCTCACTATGTTGCCCAGTTGTACTCAAATTCCAAGGCTCAAATGATCTACCCACCTCAAACACGAGATCACTGAACCTACAAGCCCAGATGCTTGTTTTAATTAGACCTGGACTTCAGTTCTATTTCCTTTCTGTAATACTCCCAATTCTGTCACCTCCAACACTCACACACATTCACATACATGCCTACACAGCACCTGGTTGCTATATCTGAGGGTAGTTAGATCAGATAGTGATTAAGGAATAGGGAAGGAGAGGGAAAAAGGCAAGAGTGGAGCTGGAGAAAACAAGAGGAGGAGCGGGAAAGGGAAGAATACAGCCTCTCCCAAGATCACAGGCTCCTTTTGCTGCTTAAAGAAGATACCTGGCACATTTGAACAGCGATCATTAAAAAATAAAAACTACATTTTCTAAATGTTTGTATTTACCATTTCCTGGTTGTCCGTTATCATCAGGAGATCTGAGTCTTCAGCTAAACAGAAGTGCAGACTAGAATTCCAGTCCATTTTCTTCGTTGAAAAATAATAACAATGGTTACCATGTCTCATCCAGAGATCTGGGCAGCTAGGACAGCTGGCATAAGTATCGCAGTTGGACCCTAGAAAGGAAGACGATCTGGTTCATATCTTTATGGAACAAATAGATTTGGAAATGAAAAGGACGATAAAAGGAAATATGGCATTCTCAGTGTCTTCCTTGTCCCACCACCTTCAGATTGAGGTTTAGAGAAATGTGTAATAATGTGTGGCCTCAAACACAATGCTTCACACCACTAGCCTTCTCTTCACCAGGCAAGGATGTGCCTGTGAAGAGCAGAAAAGAAAAAGTAGTACACATGCCTGGGACTCTGGAGAGCATATTATTCACACCAGAGACCTCTATGCACATGTGATATATATTTACCAGATAAAATAAATCTGCATTTGCATGATACATATCTGTTTACTGTTTATGTTTGACACATACATTGTATAACTTCATAATGTACATTCTTAAATCAGGCAGAATCATTCAGGATATCCAATGTCAACATGATATCCCATATGGTGTATTAAAAAAAGGAAAGAAACTAGAAAGAACAAACAACTAGAATGAAAGGTTGATTATTAAAGATTGTCAGCTGGGCACGGTGGTGCACACCTATAATCCCAGTGGCTCAGGAGGCTGAGTAAGGAGGATCGAAAGTTTAAAGCCAGCCTCAGTAAAAGTGAGGTGCTAAGAAACTCAGTGAAACCCTGTCTCAAAATAAAATACAAAATAGGGCTGGAAATGTGGCTCAGTGGTTGAGAGCCCCTGAGTTCAATCCCCAATACCAAAAAAAAAAGAAAATGACTGTCACCATTGGAAACTGAACAAAATACTTACATTTCTGTACAACTGATTTACTGTAGGTATTTAAACTTTTTTTCTGCTAGGTGCAACAGTGCACACCTGCAATCCCACCTACTCAGTAGGCAGAGGCAGGAAAATCACAAGTTCAAAACCAACCTGACAATTTAGCAAAACCCTATCTCAGAATAAAAATAAAAAGAGCTGGGATGTTGCTCAGTGGTAGAGCACTTACCTAGCTTGTGCCAGATCCTAGGTTTAATCCCTAGTACTACAAAAAAAGAAATTCTAACAGAGAAACATATCTAATGTTACATATCTAATATCTAATGCTAAAGTGAAAAGCATAGAATTTTCCTGAGTTCTTTTAAATAGATAATCCTCATTCCTTTAAAATGATTAGATTATAGTTCTTTTAAAAATAAGAGGGAGGGCTGAGGTTGTGGCCCAGTGGTAGAGCGCTTGCCTAGCATGTGTGAGGCACTGGGTTTGATCCTCAGCACCACATATAAATAAATAAAAAATAAAGGTACATCAACAACTAAAAATATATTTAAAAAAATAAGAGGGAGAGTGATATTGGCCAAGTCATATTATTATATTGTGTTCATGTAACAACAAGTCCTCATTATGTACAACTAAAATGTACCAATTTAAAAGTGTGAAAAATATGAGAAGTGAATAAGCTTTCAAGATAATCTCAGACAAGAGTCCATAATTTTATTGATTTTCTACTTCCATGAAACATATTTGAAAAAAACTCATCATATAAGCACAATTCTACAATGAGCAAGCATGTGTCATTGTATCACATAAGCATATGTGTAGATATATGATTGCAGAACAGACGACTGTGGATGTAGCTCAGTGGTAGAGTGCTTGCAAGGCTCTAGATTTGATCTCTAGCATAATAATAATAATAGCAGAATAACACACATATCTACTCCAGATTTAAGAGTTTAAGAGTAGAGTAGGTAGCCCTTCTCCTATGAAGATTAGGTAACTCTCTATGGGAAGGCCTGACATGGGACCAATAAAGAGTTCAGCACATCAAACTATTAAATTGGCACCTTATAGATCTGTGCTTTTTCCGAACAATCATGACCCACTTTGTATCAAAAATTTCCCATTTGTTTTGTCAAAGTAGGACTTGGTGTGAGGTAGAGTCCTGAGGCTGAACCCTTAGAATCCTAATGAATAAGTTCTATGTAATCAGTCATTAATTATCCCCCATTACATAAACCTAAGTTAGGAACCTGACTGTGAAAAAATAAACTCAGTCCTCTGAATCATCAGATTTAAGGACCTTAAAGAACTAAGTCTTGGAAAACTAGTTTTAGAAAATATGAAAGCAACCAAATGCTTATGTGAGTGGTTAAACACCATAAACACTATAATTTAAATATGATAAATATGGTAATAAGTAGGAAACTATTATGATACAATATGGAAAACCAAAAAACAATATACAACATTATAAGTATTCTATGGTCATAACTATTCCAAGCCTTGTTTTGGGGTGGGGAGGATTGGAGAGATTTTAAAAAGACTTGTTTGCAATATTGTTAAGAGAATAAACACTCATATAAATGCATATAATCAAAAATGAGAAGGCTACACTTAGGAAGTAGTTGTATACAGTTGGCAACTTATTTTATTTGAATTATTTTTCATTTTTCAAATGTTATACCAATTTTATAATGTAAAATGGATAAAATGAAAGATTAATTGTACCTTAAATTAGCACTTACCCTGGCAGTGAATCCATTGGTATAGCAGTAAACTCATAAGAATTGCATTCAGAAGCCCCAGAGCTATGGTCACAAGGCAAGCAAGAGAAGGCCTGGAAGAAGCTACAAAAACAGAATCCAACACAAAATCCTCAGAAGAAAGATAAGGGAATTGTATATGGGATCTTGAAGCAACTGGGTCTAGTGGGAACTAAGACACAGGGCATGAAGATTTCTTTTCTGAATAAACCAAACTCAGAAAGTCAAGGGTCATATATTTTCTCTCAAATGTAGAAGCTAGAAAGGAAAAAGGAAAAGAAGGGTGGGGTTGGGGGAATGATATTAACCAAATTATATTGCTTTATTGTGTGCATGTACGAATATAAAACAACAAATCCAACTATTATGAGCAAATATAATGTACCAATTTAAAAAAAAAAAAAGATTTCTTTCCTGAATCTCTCAGGGACTTGCTTTAAAGTCTAAAGTACCACAAACACCTGTTTCAAGATACTTTTTTACGAAGTTAAAGAAAACTTTTTTTCCTTTGAAATTGTGGCTTACTTGTTCTTATACTTTGGTAGTGAGAATACAAGTTGGTATAACCTCTTTAAAGGTTGAAGGAAAATTTGGCAATATTTACCAAAATTGCAAAGGTATTTACCCTTCAGCCCAGCAATTTCTCTTTAAGAAAATTTTTCTATAGATACGTGAACATGTGCAAAATGTCATATTTACAAGGCTATTCATGGCAGTTATCTTTGTGGGATGAAAAAAATTTAATACAACCTAAATGCCAATCAATAAAAGACCAAATA